GAAAGCATTTTACACTCGATTACGAGGTTTGCCCACCTATCTGTCCATTCCTAGCGCCTGGCAAGCGATTATCAGTTGGCAGCCCATATGGGCTGCCATCGTCCCAGGAGCGCATGTTGTTGGCAGCCCATATGGGCGGCCATCGGCGTGAATGTGTTAATATACGCCATCGAACAAGTAGACACTGCTCTCCCAAAGTCCACATTGGATTACAATGACGATGCTGAACAAAGGCAGAAATTCTCGAACCCGCCGTTACTCGAGCCTGGATTTATATTTTACGGCCAATTGTACCCACATCGCCAGTAAACTATGAAGCTGAAAGCAGTACACATGACAATTTTCAATTGTCCACACAGAAGCGACAAAAGATATTACACCATTCACTTATGCACTCCTTCTCACAAAAGTCCACCTATAGAAATGTGGATTTAACCATGAAGCAGATAATTTGGAGCAAAATCTAGGCAGAACGAACCCTTCTCTACTCCAGAGGAAACGTGCAGGTCCAATCAGACCGCGAGGATATTGACCAGGATAATATATAAGAGTTGAGACCTGGAAAGAAAATGACCTCGTAAAACCAAAGCTCGAAAGACACTAAGACGTATCAGGAGACAACCGAAACTCACTTCGTACCTGCCATCCAGACCACTTTTAAAAGCAAACGTTGGAGAGGCAGAATTTGCACAGAGAGGGCTTAGCATCGAGATGAGCTCACTTTGGTTATTATGAGAGATCTAAATGAATAGGCATGAATTAAATAAAAAAGAAAGAACTAGTCCCACATTGAAAGCGAAGAAAAACCCACCACTATACAGGAAAGGTAACTTTTATCGCGCACGGTGCAGTGCCTCACCGAGTCACGATAGCATGGACGAAAATTTCGTTGAAAACTTCGATCGGGCAGACGATAGCCCCATCTGTTGGATAGCAATTATGGTATTTTTGAAGACGCAGCCATTACCGACAGCGAACAAACCTATCAATGACATGAAATCGCTTCGCGTGCCAGATGTGTGTCTCTAGCCACACCAGTTTTCTTTGACGTCGGATATAATTCTACAAAACATAGTAACTGCTTGAGGACATAGGGTGGTGCAGAATACAGAAAGACACTTACTAGTAAAAGATTCCGAGATCTTCGACGAAAATACCGACTAGGAGGTTTCTTTCTGTGTTTAGTGTTTGTCAAAAAAGGAGCAGCGTAATTTCGTAGGCCTTTCGGGAAGCGACGAACTTCATACGCCATGGCGCGTCTGAAACACCTGCTTGTTTACAAATATATTCACAACAGATTATAGCCTAGTGTTGGTCAATTCTATAAGATGTTTCACATCAAATTAACACGGTACTTCTGCACCAACGAATCGATCTATTCACCAATCCATCCAGGAGAAAGCATGCGTCTCACACAGTTCCCCGATAACACCCTCACCCAAACTCACACGAACATTCTCTCTCCTAGAAATTCTGTCGCGTGGAAGCGAAATTTCCTGAATGCATACGCAAATTTTCTTAAATTTGCAAGGATTCTGCTAGGCTTCCAAATAAGTCATGTGACTGAATTATAGGTGCAATATTGATGAACCAGAAGAAGTTGAAGGCACATGTATAGCGATACTCCGAAGAGGCTCTCTGGAGTCTTTTAGATCCTTCTTGAATGAACTTTTTCGCCTTTTCGTGCGACACATCATGTTGCAAAAAAAGTTGCATAATATCACTGTCTAGGTATTTCCGGTTGAAATCGACACTGTTCTAGCATTTTTGAGATAAACTCAAGGTCTTTCCATTTGATTATGTCCGATGTGAGAAGCTGGCTGCAGAAGAAAAGACTTTTCAATTCAGGTTCAACAGTTGGATTCCATCCAAAAACTATTAATGCTGACGGACTGTTTCAGGGGAAGCGACAGTATTGCCTCGATTGCGACGAAACTGCTTGAATTTAGGTTTTCCGTCATTACTATCAGTGAATGAATGCTACATTTTTGACCTCAGACTCGAAATTTAGTAGAAAATCCAAACAAAATCCTTGAAAAACCTTCCAACTATAAACTGACTCTTCCTGAACATCTCATCCCATAACAAACTAATACGACCTGCCAAGACGAATTCAGCGACGCGAGTTTAATGATGAGTCCGCAGTCCACCAGAGACTTTACAGCAGATCCAAAATATCCCCCGTATGGATGCGAAAACCAGATTTATTGGGGTTTAGAAGAATTAAAAGTCCCGTCACCAATTCGCATGAAGATCAGCACCATATACTGACTGCTTCATGAAAATTTCCGAATCTGAATTCATGGACTCTCTCAATAAAAACAGCTTTCACAAACGAGCGAGAATGAGTTGACCTTCAAAAGTCCTCTTGTCAAGTGTCGAGTGCCCAAGTGTCAATGTCAAGTCTACTAAGAGAGCAAACCAGTACATATGAAAAGGCATTCTTAACAAAGGTGCAGTCTCAAGAGAAGACAACAGCCAAAGTGAAGATGAACCCACCGCCTCATATGTCTTGGAAGCCGCTGCGCTGCAGTTCTTGGACCTTTTGTGACTTCACCGGAGACAAGGTTCGAGTTATCCACTACCTGGAAGTAAGAAAACTTCAAGGAAAAGTATACAAATGCCAATTAGGGAAGGATACCTGTAGCAAATCTGCCACTTGGGCAGCACGCTCTTCAAGGTAATCGTAAACCTTCACAAATCTTGCTTTTGACAAGTCCTCCGCCTCCATTTCTACGGGCAAAAATTGCTTTAAGACCGAAATAAGGTTTCCAATATACAACCCAGTAAACATATAATGGTGTAACCATTTAGGAGACTTGAATGCTAGAGAAATGTAGAAAAAGCATTTATTGGTAACAAAAATAATAACAAATAACAATTTCTATACATACAATAGTTATTCTAGGATCTCGCTAGAAACATGAACATAGATAAAGCAGTCTATGAATCTCAATAAAGAAGAAAATGAATAGCTGAAGTTACTATTATTGTGACGGTTTCTCTTCTAATGAAGACTGCTTCTCTTCCAACACTTGGCGTTGGATAGCCCGGCGTTCATCAAATAACAAGGCGTCCTAAACTGATTTCAATACGAAAACTTTTAAAATTAAGCTGCACTAGAAATCAAAAACATAAAAAGATTTTTTTCAGGCGAAGATGGCGAATGGCGTGGCTTACTACGCGCATGGTGCGTGTGTTAAAGTCGAGAGCGAGTCTCGCACAGGCCGAATGGGTCCCTGATCACGAATGATTGAATTATTGGTCCCATTATCGTTCAGAAAGTTGAAAAAGCCGACTCAAACGCCGGCTGGCAATGCACAGACCAAATCGCATCCAAATGTGAAAATACGATGCGCGTAGGAAGCATAATGGGAGGCGTGGCGCATTCCAAAAAAGTGCTGATCAACGTCAGACGCTTCACATTCCTTTGCAAAACAGTGAGAATATATCTAATGAGTGGCGGCATAGCAAAAGTTGGTAGAATTCACAATGAAATTGGAAAATCATTCACAAAATAACATCCAAACATTTTAACACTGTAATAATTGGTTTGGAAAGATGCACAGAAGTATGGGCAAGAAATTTTTGAAAGCATATCTCACCTGTTCTAACGGAGCGTCAATGATCTCCCCTACAAGTTGTTTGCGGAGCTCAATTTCATCAGCAAATTCGTCTTTGATGACACGCCTACCAGTCACAGGATCGATTATATTACCTGAATCAATCGCATTTCCAAGTATAGTAAGCGAAACAGAAACTTGAAAGTTTTAAGCGGCGAAGTCCACGTAAAAGCAGAATCAACAATAAAAAACCTGCCGTATTTGAATACAACACGATCAATAGCATGGGCCACATTAGTGGTAGGCCTTTGATCAACTCCAACTCGTCGTATCAATACGGTATCACCAAGCTGTCCCTTCGATTCCCTTAAGTAGCCATGTAAAATGCGACAAAAATTATATTCACAACAATAAAAACTACAACAGACTTGAAGTTTCCCAATGTAAGTAAAACAGGGCCTGTGAAGTTACTAAGGCGATGGGTAATGACCAGACTGTTTTTAGATGAAGACACAAAGCGGATTTTTAAAGGAGCTTTCCATTCTTAGAATAGCACTATGGTTGGATTTTACACAACAATGAACCAAGAAAGCCCGTTTAAGCTCTGATACACCTCCATCAAAGAAAGCAGTTTTCCAAAAAAGTGAATTTGAAGGCAGCAATTGCGGAGGAAGAAATACACCATAAAATAAGTAATACACCATGAAATAAGTAGGATCGTTACTGTAACTGACACAATCAATCCTACACAATGAGAGCACAACACTATTTTTGAATAGCAACAGCACCAAAAAAACTGCGACAAATCCCTAACTGCTCTGAGAGATTTTATAGCGAGAACCTTGGAAGTAACCTAACAAAGACAATCTTAGCGCTTACTTGTGTAGCATTTTAAAAAAGGATTCTCCAAAGGACCGGCCGAAAGTACACCATTGCCCCTAGCAAATTCCAGAAGCTGTGAGCAAGATATACGGTGCCTGTACCTAGGTGACCGCTCTGGACGATGTCATAAGAAAAACCACCACTTGTCATAGTGCGGTGGAGCTTAAAGATGGCATAGCTATTAATTTTGATGATCCCACTATTCATTTACTACCAATCCTTGCCACTACCAGCCGAATTTCCTCTAAGGTCAACCGGAAACTGTCAGGGAAGGAAATAATCTTGAAATCTTGGAGATTACACTTAATTCAAACATAACAGGTTTGACATCTCACCTATCGAGGGCCCAAAACTCAAATGCACGAGCAAAGTACTTCTTCAGATAGATGTTGAACTCGTTCATACTGCATCTAACCTAAGAACAATTCATTTGATCGACGAATATGAATACAAAGAAAATGTTCTCTACCTGTGCACATGGAACATGATCGATTCCAATGTTACTGAGCTTGACTATCTTCCCCATGAGTAGCTCTGTGCCCACACGTGTTTTAAATATTGAAGTTTTCGGCATCTTGCTTTGATCCTATACATTCCCCTTTGAGTAAAAAATACGCATCAGCAAGAGATACCAATCAACATTGAAAATGGCTAGTAAACCAACTGGTGCATGCAAAAAATTTTGTTTATAATCATTTTATTATTATTTACATCCAGCAAATGATAACATAGAATACCCGGAACGTTACTCGACTTCTCAATAAAAAAAGCCAGCGCGACCAACCAAAGGCTTTCCTCTGTGCCACATTTTCGTGTTTAGCTTGTGCTCGATGTTGGCTTCACGTTTTGCGGCTAATGTTTACAAAATAAGAAAAACACGGCATAAAACCATTAAGTTATCTATCGTTGATCAACACGACTGTAAAGGATGAACAATCAATGAGGCCCATCGAAAAACATTAGCAAATACCTATAGCGTGGTTCATAGATAATGTCACGACAAGAACTCAAAAACCATGATCTATTCCCGTTCTCGAACAGACGTTGCCATTTTATCCACTTTCTTCAGAAGAGACGGATCCGTCACACTCGCCATCCAGTCGAGCATTTTCAAGTCGTTGTTGAGAGTGCAGAGTTTCGTTCTGAACAAAAGAACAATTAGTGACCGAAGTGATAACTTCCCATCAGACTAACCTATTCTCCTCAAACTGCTGCCTCTTCTCTTTCAACTCTGGCGGTGCATCGTCAACAGGAGGAGTCATGTCACTCATTCTTCTGATGTAGTCGGTCGTGTTGAGACGTTTTCGTCCCACTTTCTTCTCTATACGCAATCTGACAAAAAGTAAAAAAAACATTAGTACAGATCGGACAAAAAATTCAGCACCAACCGTATTTCAACAAGTTTATCCATAAGCATCTGGCAGTATTCCAGCAGCTGCTCTGGATCTCCTGCAGTCGGCGGCTTTCGTTCGGATACAGCTTTCAATGAAACGCATAGGCTATGTGTTCTATAAAAAGCATAGATTAGTGAATAACACCAAGTCACCAAAAAGCAGCGAAAGGTTCCAAACAGCCAGAGAGTACCTCGTAGTGAGTTCGCTAACTAGCTCGCGACCGATAACTGTAAGAGTTCCAACCGAAAATCTGTCCAAATGTTCCAGTATTTGAGGGGAGTATGGTGGAGGGTTCAGTGGTCTCTTTGCTTCCTAAGTAATATTTAATTGATAGCTAGTCGTAGATAGGTGAGTAACTGCTTCCTTCATAATGTTATTGTAATCATGAAGGCAGTCCAGTGCCGATGAATATGAATAATACGAGAGAGGACAGCTTAACATTTTCATACCGCTTTTGGAGCAGTGGGATGAGTGCCTGCTGGATGAACAGTGACATTCCCGGTGTGACCAGGTGCCGCAGTGCTGGAAGTCGGCGGGAATCCAGGGGCAGTGCAAGCGCTGCAACAGGAATGTTCACAACATGGAATCAAAGTCTGCAGAATCTGCTTCTCTACAATGACTAATTTATCTCCATGAATCAAACATAATTTTGAAATTCTGACCTATCAAACAATAAAAGTGGAACCAAGTCAAAAGTCCGAGCAATTTGCAGTCCGATAATTAGCTTTCACAAACATTTTTCCCAAGCACAGGGTGAACGATAGACGATAGCTGACCCATTACGAACGTACCCATGTGGATAGGAATATCCCTGTTGTGACGAGCTTGCAGCAGACTGTTGAGATTGCTGACCCATAAAACCGGTTCCAGGCTGCTGCTGCTGCTGCTGTGGTGGCTGCTGTTGTGGAGGCTGAGCAGGATACGATGGTGGCCCTTGCGTAGGTACTCCACCCATTCCCATTGAAGGCATGGAGGATGAACTACTGAAGCCTGGCGGCTGATTCGTGCTCGATCCCGAGAACGCTTGTCGTGAAGCTGACGCTTAATAAAAATGTCGTTAAAAAAGTAACATCCATTCTCAATGAGATTCGGCTACAGATGAAAACAGATTCGTAAAGTTTGAAGATCCATAGAAGGCGTGTTTTTTTCCAAAGAAATCACGGAAAGCGAATGTATTTAAGATATATGTCGGGCAATATAAGAAAGCAAAAACTGATTGTTTGTGTCAAGGTTTTTGGTTTTCTGCCTGACAACGAAACGAAAGTGTGACAACACAATCAACAGATATTGAATCACACCTATCACCTCCACCAGAGACATTATATCCAGGAAAATGAATAAGAACATATATCGACGAAAAGTCAGGCTGAAAACGCAGCCACAGAAAAGAAATGTGACTCAGTAATTGAGTTAGTCCAATCTCCTAGCGACAACTTCAAAAAAGCTCTCTCTTGGTCGGCAATAATTTAGGCTGAACAGGACGCTCCAGACTAGTTTTGAAAACTCGAAACATCGGTACGCTTTCATCTCACTGCACACTTTTGAATAATTGATCCTAGCTAATGCTGAATCTTTTCTTTTTTCTCGCTGCTTCCTTTGTACTCGCGATGGCTCCGCTGCGTCAAATTTCTGAAGCTTTATCCTCGTTCACCTTTCCTGTCCAACTCTTTTTAGCAACTTGCAATATCATAGCAAGGCAGCGACTTGTGTCTGGCACTACTATACATGACCACATATAGTGGCAGATGCCTACTCGCATTACTTGTTGTACAGCATCGAATTACAATTTGTACGCTATGTCAGGCATTTGGATTCAGTGTCTAGCACTGGCTTACCATGTGCGATTTCTGCGAAAGGATGGAATAGTTCGTACAATCGCTGGAATCATAGAATCGCTGAAATCGCAAAGCAATCGTATAACCTTGACCGAATATAAGCGGGCTCTTCGAAAAACCACGCCCCAACATTGACCTCAACCCTCCCGCAAACCACAACCCTGGCTATTCCCACTAACCCAATCTTAACCCCAACTCAATCCTATCCAACCCAACCCTAGAGCGACACATGCGATAAATACATATCGGTCGTGCGACATGCGACTGTTACGATGGTTACGATCGCATGTATCGCTCGATCGATTTGTATTTAGTACTACTCACTCGAACAATTGAACTTCCGGAATACCGTGACGCGCAGTCACGTGTTGTCTGGTTGTACTGGATCACCGCGCCGCCTCCCCTATGCGACCGCGGCTTGTCTGATCGCAATAATCGTCACGTATTGTTGAGCTGGAGTCAGGTCAAGTTTAAGCCGGGGTTAGGGTCAGGGTTACGACTGGGGAAAGCCAGGGGCAAGGTTATGATAGGTCTCCGCAGAGCTTGACTTATGTCTTCAGTGGCTGCATTGCTGATGTCTACTATAGCGATTTCAACATCGGCGAAAACGCCAGCAATTGCTCAGCCGCCAACTGCTGGCAGTCGCTTCAAATGGCAAAGCCTGACAGCGGCCATTCAGAACACCTCATTGTTCCTCCCTGTTACCCCAGCAAAATGTTCACCTAGCTTGACGCTTCACCCCATGGACTCCCCACCGCTAGCAGTCAAGTGCATAAGTGCAGAAACTGATCCATTGACACATACCACATAGTTGCATAAATACATAATTATCAATAATAATAGCGAAAACCTACAGAGTGCACCTTGCGCTCCGAATATTGCCTGTTGCATCATGGAGGCAGGAGGATTTGGTTGAACAGGTTGTTGCTGCATCATTTGCGGGACACCACCTTGATATCCCATAGGCATTCCAGACGAGCCTCCGCCCACTTTAACAAATAAGTAAATTTACACTTAAGCATTCATGGTATCCATTTGACTCAAACTTTCTAACGAAAGCTTACTCATCATCTGCTGCCCTTGCATGGCCATTGGAGGTTGCTGCGGTTGTCCAGGACCTGGCTGACCCATAGTAACCCATTCCGGGTTGGCATTGGCTGATGAAAGTTGGCTCTGGTTTGGGAGGTGGACTAACCACCTGTGCATGTTCTACGATGAAGTTTCCACAACGTAATAGTCAGGGGGGAAATTAATCAAAGAACAAATAATAATGGAACGATTGAACATTCCCTAGTAGATATAAACTGTAAAAGCTTACTGGATTGCCCATGGGGTTATTATTCTGCATTTCTGGGACTCTGCTCGATGGGAGAAGGTAAAGGTGCTTGAGTTCTTCAAAACACAGTGTTTGAGAGACGATAATGTCATATTGTTGAGATGCCTAAGCCGAGGTAGAAAAACCTCACACCACCTAATGGATTAAGATTTAATTTCTTTAATGAGGCAAAAACTCACTACAAATGTATAATAACATTGAACAAAAAGATGAGTTAATGGATGTCTACTTCGCGATTAGCAACACGTTGTAGACCCGTATTCAATAGATAACGATGAATAGAAAAAACAACGGCTAAAGGGACAACAACCCAGTTGATAGTGGAAAAGAAAAGTTGTTCTCCAAATAAAAAAACGAGTCCGAAGAGATCATTTATGGTTAGTCATAAATAAGTGAGGGCAACCGGAGAAAAAGTGAAAGGCTATCATTCAAGACAAAAGAGGACTAGCTCTTAGCAGCTTCCTTGATCATTCTACGAGCTTGCATGAATGCTCCTACTAGACCTCCTATCTGTATGCGATCCGAAGCACCAACCGCCAGACGTTGCTCGGTGTCAGCAAGTGCAGAAATCAAGCATATCATCACCTATAATGAAAACAATCATGGCACAAAACGGATATAGATTTTATAACAATGGGAAAGAAGAAAACCATTAAGTGCAATAACCAGCAGCGGTTGACATCCATGAGATATTCGCTTTATGTTTGCTGGAAATGTTGGTTATCAACGCGGTACCTGTGCAGACTTCACATAAAATTCCACTCCTTCAATTAAGAAGGGCTAGCCGCAACATGATCGGAGAGAGCCTTTTACAACTCCATCCTTGAAACACGCTGCTAAATGCCAGAGATGTGGGAATTATACCCAATGAATAAGAAACCGCATCCGGTGCCATAACAAGTCCATTTAAAACCGAGCAAGGGGTATGCGCGTCATCCTATACATGGCTCAGCGACCGTACCAGCGTCAAATTTATAGTAAGCACCGGTGATCCAGACTGAGGGGCTAAAATGAAGCCTGAAAACCGAAAAGAAGCCATGTTCTAAAATAGAAGAAGTACACTCGCATCTGCATCGTATATAAGCGGTACGCGCCCCCCCCCCCAGGAGTCCCGCGTCGGGCAGCATAGCAGAAGCGCCAAGTCAGCGGACGAGTCGCGCACGTATTATAGGGATTTCGCATCACGTTAAATAGAGTGTACCACATCGCACACCACGCGCTGTAACTCGTCCGCCAATGGCCGATGTCAGAGTCTGCGATTGGAGCGATCGGTCAAATGCCAATCGCGCGACCATCGCGCGATTCGCGCGACGATCGCGCGATTGACATGAGTCCCATCATGACCAATCGCTCCAATCGCGCGATGGGCGCGATCACTCCCGTTGTGGCTGGTGCGCCCCTCTCGATCGATAGCTCAGTCAACGTATCGATCGAGAGGGGCGCGCCAGCCACAACGGGGGTGATCGCGCCCATCGCGCGATTGGAGCGATTGCCATGATGAGGACCATGAAATGTGCCAATCGCCGCGACCCATCGCGCGAATCGCGCGATGGTCGCGCGATTGGCATTTGACCGATCGCTCCAATCGCAGACTCTGACATGCACTCTGGCCTCTCGCGACGCGCCTCCTGGGGGGGGGGGAGGGTACCAAAGGCAAGCAATGATGATATGTGATTCGTAAATGCTAGAATTCCTACGAGAACGAGGGCGAACACAAATCCTTCCTTCGAAGCTCAGGAATTTTGCCGACAATGGTGTGAGTTGACATACGTTTGTTGAGTGGGCATTACGACAACAATTTCAAGCTTGCAATAGGATACAGACACAGACACCGGCATAGATAATGTTGTCTTCCGAAAGCAGAAAAAACTTGCATTTCGCAGGCAGATCCAATTGAAATATAACATCGTGCAACCGTGAAAGCACGTCTACCAAAGCATAGCCCTCTCCACCGCATTCTTTCTCCAACTCTGGAAAAGCAAAATTCATTTGATGGCATCAAAGACCGCACAGAAACGACAATAATGGAACGCATGAGTTTTTTTGCTCTTGAATTGCGATGAATATGAAAAAAAAACTAACTTCGCAACATGAAGCGAACGAGTCATTCATAAGAATTTGCAAAATCTTCTCAATGTGCTTAGGTGTAGGTTGTCCACAACATTCGTAAACAGTCGTCTCATCAATTGTCGAAGAAGCCATTGCCACACTCTAAGACATAGGTTAATAGCAGAAGTTGAAACCTTCACAAAAAAAAACATAAAGTGCAATGCCACACCTGAAGCACGTTCAGAACACGACGCATATCACCCCCTGACAGCTTCAGTAGCGCTTGTTTACCGTCTTCAGTGACCGTAAGCTTCTCCTCCGCAATCTGAAGAAGGAACACATACTTTTGCGAAACTCTATATGAGATGGAAAGAGTGAATTACCACATAATTAAGCTTCGGCAGGATGTGATCCATAGACAAAGGGGCAAATCGAAATCGAGTACATCTGGAAAGCGTTGATAAAATAGAAATACAAAGTGAGTAACCCATATATCCCTTACCGAGACTGGATGGCAGGAATTATAGAAGAGAGGTAGTTACAAATTATACAGAAACGAACATTTGAGGTGTACTTTTCTATACCATCTGAAAACTCACTATTCTGATAACACAAAAAAAAAACCCGGATACGGGACTGCGAAGAGCGTACCGCCTCAGCGCATTCTGTGCATCCTTTGTCATGGCATCAGCTTCATCAAGAATAACAAACTTCAAATCTGTCGTCTCTTTATCTCTCTGGAGTGATTTCGTTTGCGCAAATGTTATGATCTCGTCCCTGCAATGACGGCATATACTATAGACGCCACACATTTATCAGAAGAAAGTTATTCTCTTCGGAACTAAGTTTATGCTCACCGCCCCCTTCAAACAGAGCCCCCCCCCCCCCCCCCCCCCCCCCCCCCCCCCCCCCCCCCCCCCCCCCCCCCCCCCCCCCCCCCCCCCCCCCCCCCCCCCCCCCCCCCCCCAGAACAATAATCCAATTTCTGTGAAGCAAAACAATTAATTTAAAAAAAATAAAGAGCCAATGGCGCTAGTTGATGAGTAATCGAAGCACCTAAGCCATCTAGCTTTAAATAACTTCGCCTTGCATCAGAGTGATATCAATGTAAATGACAATAAAAATGGGCATCGCATCTGGCAGACCGTTGACAGTGTGTTCCACTTAATATTGTCAAATTGCAATCCAGTCAAATGACACCGTTATTCCGCTAATGAATCGTTTAATGCTTTCGAACGCTATCATAGTTCGGTGAAAAGAGAATAGATCGTTCTGCTGATAGGAAGTACCTCAGAAGGAATGCACTTATACAGACCACTTCACTTTTGCCTAAGAGATTGGGGGCATCGGTAAGACGCCCACCGATGACGGTTTTGTGTGTTTAGCGATGTAGCAATGCTTGTGGCGACTTGTGCAAATTTTACATTACCTCACGCGCTATTCGCCGTCATGGGACATTTGAATATAGGAAACTGCTCCCACGATCCCCACAAGAGACGCTTACAACTCTTTCATCATTCCACAAAGATCTAACAATCTGTCCGCAACACTTCTAGAGACAAAAGCAAAGCAACCAATTTGCAAAGGAACCGATCCTACGAGCTTTTACCTGCCACCCCGGACCATCACCACTGAGCTATTACGCTTCATAACTCCGTTCGGAGAGTCGTTTAGCAGATTTGGAAGGCAGATTTGGAATCAGCGTCTGGAGACGCATCAGGAGGTATACATTTCATTTTCGAACGGCCACTTCGACCTACCATCCTTTCCTTGTAAGCAAAAAAATAGAAAACAAAGAAACAGAAGTGTTCACCTTACTATACCGATACCTCTATCATCTGAGGCATTGAGCTCGAGAACCATCGACTTGCGCTGTTTATCCGAGTACATTGTGTTAACCACTGCTAGTATGGCACTAGTTTTGCCAGTACCAGGAGCCCGTAGACAACAAGTGTGGCAGCTTGTCCGATTTTACAAAGCGAGTGACTGAAGCAAAACATATATTGTGTTCTGAAGCGTCTTATGTATGTGTGGAACTATATGTGTAATCCTTATGAAGAAAGCATATGAAACAATGAACAAAGGGAATAAAATAATAAGGTTGAAAAAGGTCAAGAAGGCACACCACACACGTGTCTTGATGATTTCCTCGTGAGATATCATATCAGTCAAGGATTCAGGACGATATTTTTCCACCCATGGTAAGTTGATCACCGCTGGCGGCAATGGCACGTCGATCTCCATCATCCTCCCTGAAATAAAAATGCATCTCGCACAAAAATTATAACCGGAAGTTCTTCTCATGAACTCGAAAAGATTTTGGGGTAGAGGGAACTAGCCAATTCTCTATAGATCTAGATTTGCAAATATGAGTGTAAAAATGTTCGCTGAACGAGAATGACAAGAAGAAAACCATAATCCAAGACAGAACTCCATCGAAATTTGTGGCGAATTCGCGCGCTCGATGTGCGCCGCGCGCGGCGACCGCATGCGACAGAAAAGTGATTGACAACGTTTATCATGCTGGATCGACGGTATCTCAGAGGGTATTTGAACACAATTGCCTGCTGGGGTTAGTTCTGAATACTGTATTATAACTTCAGTCCGGTACCATTCGTACCTAGTAAGTAGCTGCCCTCACCCCCCACCCCCTAGACTGCCTTCACACCCCCTGGCTCACGGGGTCCCGTACATCGAGAAACCTGTGCGCCAGGGGGAGTGTAGGCAGTCTAGGGGGTGGGGGTGAGGGCAGCTACTTACTAGGTACGAATGGTACCGGACTGAAGTTATAATACAGTAGCTGAAGTGAGTTAGTGTTTTATTTTCTCGCCACAATTTTGGTTAAGTTACGGCCTCCTAAGAATAGGTCTCGTTTACTTAGGCAGCACTAGTTCGGGTACCAGACCCCAAGAAAAATGCGGTGCCTTACCATTTACACAGTTATCTTCACTGAATCAACCTATGCAGTTGAGCGGGAAATAGAATA